TAGTTATATCTGATTTATTTATTAATTCGTATCTAACAAATAATTTCATATGGGATTGTGTCGTGTATAAATAATGCATAACTTGTGTATAATTGGTATATAAACCCGTCGTGTATCAATGGTGTATAACTAGTATATAAACGTGTCGTGTCATTATATTTCTTTTGATTGGCTTCATTTATAATCGATTATTTTATCAATCGTGTCGTGTCGAGTCCATTCGTTTACGAAACGAGTGTCTTAAAGATAACCCAAACCTTCTAATTTTGTGACATGTTCGAGTCGTATTAACTAATCGTATCATATTTTGACACCACTAGGTTACTAGGTTACTGGAAACTCGATCAGTTACCCTATTTAATTAGTGAATTAATTGACTTGATCTTTGATTCTTTTTGTCAATCTAAGGTTGCTCCCAAGCGCTGGAGATTGGAGATAAATTTTAGCCAAGATGCAGTATTGATGCTTTCTTCAATGAACTTGCCGGATGGCGTCCAGGTATGTATCTTCCTCCATTGAACATAATCCTCTTAAAGCTGTCAACTTTTTTCTTGGTTACAACTTACAAGTTAAGAATTTTATTGCAAGTTCTCTATGTGGCTTACAAAACTGNTTGAACATAATCCTCTTAAAGCTGTCAACTTTTTTCTTGGTTACAACTTACAAGTTAAGAATTTTATTGCAAGTTCTCTATGTGGCTTACAAAACTGCAGTTTAGTTAGAATAGACAATTCATTTGACAAAAACTCGATGTGCAGAGTTTAATTTTTTGTTAAAAGGATGCTGATTCTTAAAATGTACTTGGAAAGAAGGAAAAACAATCTCTCATTAGCAGGCTTGAGTTTTTCTCCCGCTATCAGCTTAGTCCAGAGCAAAATCTTGAAGCTCTACACCAGACTATTCTGTCTAGCATCTTGTTTAATCCATACCTATTGGCTTGCATTATGCTTATCTCTTTGAAAAACTGAACTTGCTACTCACTTTCCTTCTTAAGTTGGTTTGCTATTCATTTTTTAATCTTTATTTTTCATTTGCTAGAGGCGGCGAACTGCAGTTGATGAACTCAACATGTGCACCATTTTTGAAGAGAATGATGTTATTTGTGTAAGTTCTCTGGCTCTAGCAGTTTTTGAGGAAGTACCATGGTCTTTTATTTTGGTTGATTTCTTTGACCAAATAATCAAATGAAAATGCCGCAAGGTGCAGGCTGATGTTGTTATTTTAAGGTTACTTTGTCTTGGGTTCTAAAATCAATTCTTGTCCTACATTCAATGTCCCCTTTTCTTCTTTTGGACCCCATGCTGGGAGTGGTGACTCGTAATAATATGGGTGGTAGCCAAACAACAGGAATTTCTAAAATTCTGTGGCAATATCTTTCTTCAGGCTGAAGTTCGTGGTTTTCAGCATGATGGCAGCTTACACCTGCAAGCAAGAAGCCAAAAGTATGGAAAGGTGTGTCTAGTCATTATATATCTTACTCTTGTAAGCTATGAAGCACGGATATCTCGACAAGGTCAACGTACCTGCGTCAGATACTGTATCGGATACGATACTTGTCGGATAATCAATGATACGTATTGGATATGCATCATCCGTATTCAATAATTAATAAAATATGTGAATACTTCGCTGATACTTTTAAACATGAAGCAAGATGTATAATTTTCAATTTTAAGATATACCCCTTCTTTGGAGTTTACATATAATATAAAACATCAATAAAATTTCATTTGATTTTGAAGACACGAGTGTTTTTTAAGTATTATCTATTATTACATGTTAAAAGAGTATAAAAAAAATGAGTCACTTATACTATGCTTTTAAAAATAAATACTTGTAAAACCAATTAGTTAAATGTGGTTATAATTTCTTCAATTGGTCATGCTCATTTTATGAACATATCATAATGAAACAATATTGCATTCTTTTCATGGTAAAAATTCCTAATTTTACTTACTAATATTAAAGAATTATTGAAAAATTGTAATTTCTAAGTCGTTAAATAATAGTAAAATATAAAATATATTTTATTATAAACGTATCATGATCGTATCCGTATCTTGTTTTTTTAAGTTTTGCCGTATCCGTATCGTATCGTACCCGTGTCATGTATCCGTATCCGTATCCGTGCTTCCTAGCTTGTAAACTGTGTATTTTCTTTGTATGAAGATACTTCATGTTTTAAAACGATGAACCAAAAGGAACTTGAATCAGAAGACTGAAGTTCCACAAATTTATTTGAATAAATTCCATTTTAATATATGATGGAGTACACCACTTGCCACCTATTATAATGATCTCAGCTGCTCACTGCTGATATGATAGAAGTACAATTATTAGCAGTCTTTAGTGGAACCATGCTGTCCATTCTAACAAAATCAACAAAAACAATGGAACTATGCTGTGAGTTTCTGGTTGTTTCTCCTAGCTTTGTAGCAGTATTACATTAGGGTCGCTCTGATTGATGATCTCGTCATCCTTATTAGTCTTATCTAACATAAAAGACTTTCATTACAGCTTGAGAGAGGTCAGTTGCTCACAATTTCCCCCTATCTGGTGAAGAGGCAGAAACAACATTTCCACCACCTAGAGGAGTGTGGAATTGACTTGGTACTTGGATGTAACGGGTTCATCTGGGTTGGTGAACATGTTGAAAGTAAAGATGACGCGGTAGAGGACCAAGCAAACAAATCTGAGCAACAGAATTCCAAATCAACAAGTTCAACAAATCTTGAAGAACGAGAACAAACTTGCACACAACTGGAGATTAGGCAAAATATATGCAGGATGGCAAATGCAGTCAGAGTATTGTCCAATTTGGGCTTCAATATTACTGTAGAAGTGATCATGGAGACTGTTAACTTGAGTAGCTCTCTGAATCTTGATATACATGAGATGCTTGGAGCAGAGTTCTGTGTTCTGACTGCCGAGAGAGAAGCAGAACGTCGAAGCATGTTGACGCAAAAGAAGGGGTAATCCTGTCATGTTCACATAGCATCAGATTTTTTTTTTTTTATAATTATTTTGTTGTATTGTATCGTCCGATGCTACATACAAGCAGTTTCTTTAGGCAGTGCTGTTCATTTGCCACCCTTGTAAGAACAGCTATTTCTAAGTCTCTTCAACATCGAAGTTTCAAAAAGAGGGTTTAATCCTATTTAGCGCTAATATGATAAGAAATTAAAGTTTGAAAGTAGACGACTATCAAAGGAAAGTCTCTGGAGAATGTTATCCTGAGATAATTAAGATGCATACTGTGCATCCAAACTCTTGAACACTGGATTGGGACTCGAATTGGTGTGGCTCTCTTGGGCAGTTAACAGACTGAGGGACACGGTTGTTCACATCTGCAAAAAATTCAGGCAAATTGGATTCTAAAGAAGAGGACTTGATGAAGAACCTTGGCAAAACTGTCAATGAAAGTTACCTTGGAGCTGCTACATTGATGGCAATTGCAGTGCTAAGGTTTGCACGAGTGCAAGCTTCAATTATTGAACTCATTTGAATACCTAGGATGTGGAAAAATTATGAAGGGATGATGGGAGTAAATCTAAATGTTCTATCTGGATTAGTTATGTTTAGATGACTTGGGGTCAGTAGGCTCATGGTGAAGTTGAAAGTGGATTGGTTGAAGTGTGGACTAAACAAATTGACATTCCTAATATACTCGCTCGAGCTTGACCTTCTGATAGCCTGTCATTGCCAAGTAAGTTTTGTGGAGCCAATGTCATGTAATTGGAACTTGCATTAATGGACTAGAAGCATTAATGGACTGGAAGACTACAGGTGATGTGTGAAACAAAAATCATGTAAGGTGAAAAAAGGTACTTGTGCATATAAAAATTGTGGCTTATTTTTACTAGTATTTATTGGATTAATTGCTAGTTCATTTAACTGGCAAAAGAAAGAAAGGTGAAACTTTAAGGATAGATCAAGTGGTAATAAAAATGAATTGTACATTCAGTCGTCTTGAATTCGAATCTTGGTAACCTCTTGAGGTCCGTTTATGAGAGATTTATCCCTCGTGAATATCATAATTCTTAGCATAAATGACCTTCCTTTCATTGAAACATGAGAAGAATTAGAAGANATAATAAAAATGAATTGTATATTCAGTCGTCTTGAATTCGAATCTTGATAACCTCTTGAGGTCCGTTTATGAGAGATATATTCCTCGTGAATACCATAATTCTTAGCATAAATGACCTTCCTTTCATTGAAACATGAGAAGAATTAGAAGAGGTGTGTGTAAACATATCCGAATACTCCTAACCATTAAACCCCAAAAATAAAAAAAAAAACAGAAAGGTGGGAACTTAAATACTTAAATTGGCACATTTAATGGCTTGTCAACATTCCAGCCACATTTGATTTGCTTCAATATTAGATTCTCAATTCCCTCAATGAAATTCCATTCACTTCAGTATTAAATTCTCAATTCCCCCAATGTTCAATTGACAATGATGAATGGAAGTGTGGCCTATTGTGTTCAAGTTGGTCGAGTGAGTGAGTTACTTACCAGGGAATCTAGTAATTAGAGTAGACATCAGAATCTTTAATGAACCAAAATACATATTTAAGATGAGGTTAATGGTTGGCTAAATTTCGTCATTTCACACACAAGTAATAGTGCCTGACCCAAAAGAAGCAAAGCAGAAGGTAGATTTCTAGCAAAAATTATTGCCTGTAATGTGTGTTGGCAACATCTTGAAACCAGTCAAACACCAGGACTGCTTACCTAGAAAATTATTCATGAATGATACAGATGAACAAATCCAAAAATAATCACATATATTTTGACCAATTCTGCACCACAGAAAGAGCATTGAGAAGTTCTCTTTTCCGTTCAGCAATTACACACGGTAATGCAGCATTTGCTTCCAAGATACAACGATTGGGTCTTTTGGTTCTCACCCCTCCCATTTTGGGAAAAAAAAACAGATAGAAAAAGCCTCTCAAAGTTCCAGTTGCCAGTATAACTCAGCTAAGTACTTTGGAAACTACCCCTGCACCAACTGTTCTACCTCCCTCCCTCGAGCCAAATCTTTGTTCTGTAGATAACAAAGAATAACTTTAGGTCTACATACTTTCTGAGTTTCATACAGACAAATCTACTACAAATCTCATAAATGAAACATAGATGAGACTATAATGTAAATTCAGACAAACTACAAAGTGACAAGACGAGAAAACAACAGGAGTGTATGTATAATGTTTTGTGTTTCTGTGTGCATTCGGGTTGAAGCTTCAACTAAATCAGATGAAAATGAAAAGAAATGCACTGCACCAAATTAATAAGTGTCTGTAGACAAAATTGATAGATAAGACATAGCATTATCATTTTCTCTACCCTCCCCCTTCACTAGTCTCTTTGACTCCAAAACACCCAACAAACTTAGGGAGTAGCCACTCCAATGCACTCCCTTAGGTATCATCCAGAACTAGTGACTTTCAGTCTCAAATGATCCACATCAACCTTATAACAGTAGCATAATAGTTATATTCACCAGACCACCGCATTCAAAATGAACACTTCGACGTACAAAAAGTGGGTATACTCTTTAAGCAAAAGCAAAACTAGATTACTGAATTCAATCAATATCACTAGCAAGTCAGAATAGGATTAAATTAAGAGCTCACTAAAATTTCCCCTTCTACCCCTCCTAACAGACATGTTTTGGTTCAATAAAGCTGGGCCAGAGAGAGAAAGAGAGAGAGCTGATGAAGGAAGGTTGTCCTCAAACCCTATGATGAAAACCAAAAAGTAATGCACGGAGAATCTTCTCAAGGAAATCTAAAAGCGGTTTTTATGTCAGTTCATTGAAAAATATTATTTCCCAGAAGCAGCAGCTACCTAAAAGATCACACAATCTCTGTACTCCAGCAAAAGGGCCAAAATAAATGGTTATTCTTCAGAAATGTTGTATTTACAAAAAGATACACATCCAAACATTTTATTGGTCATCAAGATTCTAAAATAGTATGTATAATGCCATCATTATGAGGGGAAAATTTAAAAATTTTAAAGAACATAGTCATGAAGTTATAACAGTTATTTTCATTTTCTTTCGGAAAAGGACGTCTCTACTCACCAGCTTCAAGAGGACTGAGTAAATCAACTCAAACACAGCAGTCACATTGTCTCCAGGCATCATAACCATCTTAACATTTTCAGGTAACTCCNCGTCTCTACTCACCAGCTTCAAGAGGACTGAGTAAATCAACTCAAATACAGCAGTCACATTGTCTCCAGGCATCATAACCATCTTAACATTTTCAGGTAACTCCACTTTACCAGTAATATCTGCAGGTCGCATACAGAACTGAGGCCTGTAATTTGAGAAAAAGGCAGTATGGCGTCCACCTTCATCTTTTGTGAGGACATATATCTCTGCCTCAAACCTCTTGTATGTTTTCAAAGAACCAGGCTTCGCAATCACCTGTTCAAAAATAAGACAGCAGCAGATAATGAAGTTACAGCCTTCCAAGGCTTATTTCACTATTTAATACTAAAATCAGATTTCAGTTTCTTCTTATTTTACCGCAGATGAACAGAAACTCCTATGTATCCCTAACAATAAAAGAATATTCTAAATATAGTCTGTGAGAAAGGAATGCCTGATCTAACAAAAAGAANTCAGATTTCAGTTTCTTCTTATTTTACCGCAGATGAACAGAAACTCCTATGTATCCCTAACAACAAAAGAATATTCTAAATATAGTCTGTGAGAAAGGAATGCCTGATCTAACAAAAAGAACAGACATGATTTTGCTTCCAACTTTCAAGCATATGGAAAGTCACTCAAGTTCTCATATTTGGAATTTCCTTAAACTGACTAAAAGATTTACAAGATGGGTTTTACTCTACATACTGTTACTGGTTCCAGCATATAGTACTGTGCAGATTCAGTTCCTCAGTTTACCTGTCCTCGCTGCACATCGTCCCGCTTTAAGCCACGTAGAAGCAGACCGACATTGTTGCCCGCCTAGTAAAATGTTAAAGATTGCAATCAGTTCCAAACATAAGAATTAGTAGCTTGAACAGTTTAACATTAACTCACTTACCTGTCCAAAATCCAAGATTTTCTTGAACATCTCAACACCAGTTGCTGAAGATTTCAGAGTTCCCTACAGAGGATAGATATCTCAATGTTAGAAGCAATCATTCATAATAAAGTTAGACAAGGATCTTCAGAAAACAATCACTATAAAATAAATGCATCACATTTCATCACTAGTGACTTCTTACATTCCTTGTGGAACAAAATCGTCAGCTCAAAGAATTCATGACATTCTCATTAACTAGAAAGAATTACAAAATCATGCTCTGNATCACTAGTGACTTCTTACATTCCTTGTGGAACAAAATCGTCAGCTCAAAGAATTCATGACATTCTCATTAACTAGAAAGAATTACAAAATCATGCTCTGCAAAAAGTTGATTACCAAAACTAATTTTATATATTCTCCTGCATCAATCCCAAAATCTCAACTTCCTCCCCAACTTTAATTGTCCCTTGTTCCACACGGCCAGTGGCAACAGTTCTGNTGCAAAAAGTTGATTACCAAAACTAATTTTATATATTCTCCTGCATCAATCCCAAACTCTCAACTTCCTCCCCAACTTTAATTGTCCCTTGTTCCACACGGCCAGTGGCAACAGTTCCGCACGGCCAGTGGCAACAGTTCCACGTCCCTCCAAAACACATTCAAAGTAATCAGAGCTATGTGGTCACTACTTTCTTAAAAAAAATGAAAACACTATTGCAGCGATATCAGATTCATTTTAAAGATACACTAAAGATTAAAGAAATGCTCCATCATTAGGCAACAGGGTTATTTCCTCAACAGATATAATGCAAATAGGCAAAATATTACCTGAATTGAAAAAACATCTTTAATTGGCATCAAGAAAGGATTGTCAAGCTGGCGTACAGGATCAGGAATGTGTGCATCTACTGCATCCATTAGTTTTAAAATAGCCCTTTTCCCTATTTCTTCATTTGTACCCTGTAAAGCGAACAAAGCTGAACCTCAATGATGGGGATGTCATCTCCAGGAAACTTGTAGAAGTTAAGATGCTCTGCAATAATTATAAGCTCAAGTGAAACAATATTGAGTGAGTTATAGTACTGTTTAACCCAGCCCTTGATGTGCATGAGCGCAATTAACTAAAAAGCCAGATTACCTCGGAGTTCCATTTCCACAAGTTCCGGTAACTCAGGATCATCAACAACATAAACTTTATTCAAAAAACACACAAGTGATGGCACACCAAGCTATGTCATGCAGGAAAGGAAGAACCTTATATATGATTATGGTCTCATAACGTAAATATTTGATGGAAAAGATTAACTATTTGGTTGGAAAAAATTGGTAAATGTGATAAATTGTTAAAGAATTGATGCTATGTTAATAAAGGATGAATTGTGTTTATTTTGCAGTAAAATGTCTGAAGATTGGAGAAAATAAAGCAACAAGAGAAGCATAGCTGAAAAGAAACTTACTGGAAGGCGCGTCCGGACGGTGGAATGCATTCCGTCTGGACGTGAGTGACAGAAGGTGAAGGCTGAAGAAAAAGAACACAGCAAGGTGCGTTTGNAGAAACTTACTGGAAGGCGCGTCCGGACGGTGGAATGCATTCCGTCTGGACGTGAGAGACAGAAGGTGAAGGCTGAAGAAAAAGAACACAGCAAGGTGCGTTTGGACGGAAGGGAACACACGTTCGGATGAGTGTCGCCAATTCGCCAACGCCAATAGTAGAATTTTAATTCAATTAGATCTTTTCCCAAATCTATTATATAAAGTAGCTTACAATTCAAATTTCAAAAGATAAACAAAATGACTTTTGCTATTCGCGGTTGAGATCGCTTTTAATTTTACTTTCAAGTTAATCTAACGGCTAATATTAACACCCTAAATTTAATAGAAAAAATAGGCCCGTAAGGGTGCATTTGGAGTTACTTGTTAAAAGTATTTTTAAAAATTATTACTCATAAATAATTTAAAAAAAATAGTGTTTGAAACTGCCCCACCACTACTTCTACCACCGCCACCGCTACCGCCACCACCGTCGCTGCCACCACCACTGTCGTCGCCGTCGCCGTCGCCACCACCGCCACCCCTCACCACCACCACTTTTTTATTACTTAGTGCCTTCAATAACTAGTAATCTTATATAGGAGATGATGGTTGGGTAAGATACCCTTTGGCTGTAGTGTTTTATTTTATTTTATTTTTACTCTTCNTAATCTTATATAGGAGATGATGGTTGGGTAAGATACCCTTTGGCTGTAGTGTTTTGTTTTATTTTATTTTTACTCTTCTGGTTTAATTTCATCATGTCTGGATAAAAAGTTTAACTAGGATTAGGGGAGAACTTCTTAACGAAGTACGGTAATGTTATTGATTTATGAGTTTAATGGTATGTGATATTTTGATAATTCAACTTTTGACTTTTAGTAAAGTTCTTGCTCCTTAAAAATTCTTGAGTCATTGTTGCTTATACCTTGATGGCTTGAATTTCCCCGTTAGTCAAATAACTAGTTATTCCATGTTTAAATTAATTACAATTATTTCACATAATAATATAATTGAAAGATTATTTTGGTAAATCATGAGTTTGATTGTTAGGAAAGTTTGATTTATTGTAGACTTTGTGCACAGTAAATACTTATGACCGGCAACCAGTTCATTGATTTTTCTGAATAAACTTTTAATTATACAAAAAGGTGTTTCTCGTTCTTACTTCTAAATGTAGTGACTTGAGTCAATCGACACTTGATTTTTGTCTAGGATTGAAAACTAAGTCTTTAATCATTATTGTATGAATTTGAGAGGGAGTACATGATGCTCTAGTAATTTTTTTATATTGTTTTAATCACTTTACTCAATTTTACCAATTCAAATACTCTTTTCAAACAAAACATCTTCACAAGTTTTTTACAGAATTTAGTGTGGTTTCTGGTGTTTTCACAATTCCTTAAGGGTTAGACCTCGGTCTTCCAAGTTATATTACTTCACACAACCCGTGCTTGGGTTTACATATTTAAAGTTGTAGCATGNTTAGCATTTCATGTGTATTATAAGACCTTAATATTATGTAAAAATGTGTTTATTTCATAAAAATTAAGTGTTTGAAACTAATTTAAGTGACTTTCGCCTCAAGTCAAGCCTTTTTTTCCCTCAAATTTAAATTTATTCTTGTATAAATTGATGTTAACCTAATAAATATGTTGAATTAATAAATTATTTAGCATATCTTTATAAATTAATGGATTGCATTTGTGTTTCTATGCGTTTTCAAATTTTTTTTGCGTTTCCATTGCGTTTCCGAAATATTTCCGAAACGTTTCTATTTTTGAGTTGACCGAAACGGTACTTCGAAACGAAATTTTGATCCTTGNAATAAGTAATCATGTTGAGAATGATGTTGATAATCGGAATGCTAATTATCGTCGGAATTTGTGTGAATATTTGCAACCTACACGTCACATTGCACCCTCATGCATTATTTTTTCATTGAATGCCACAAATTTTATTTTAAACATAGCATAATCACATTACCTCCAAAGTTTCATGGCATGGAATCAGAAAACCCTTACTTGCATATTAGAGACTTTGAGGAGGTTTGTGCTACATTTCATGATCAAACTGTATCTGTGAATACAATCAGGTTGAAACTCTTCCTTTTTTCATTAAAGGAAAAAGATAAAACTTGGTTGCATTCCCTCAGACCTTGATCTATAGGTACATGGCCTGAGATACAAAAAGAATTTTTTAAAAAAAATTTCCCACACATCACATAAACTCTTTTAAAAGGCAAATTATGAACTTTTNGTGAATACAATCAGGTTGAAACTCTTCCTTTTTTCATTAAAGGAAAAAGCTAAAACTTGGTTGCATTCCCTCAGACCTTGATCTATAGGTACATGGCCTGAGATACAAAAAGAATTTTAAAAAAAAAATTTCCCACACATCACATAAACTCTTTTAAAAGGCAAATTATGAACTTTTCTCAAAAAGAGTCTAAAATTTTTTAGCAAATTTGGAATAAATTTAAAGACTTCCTTGCATCTTGCCCACATCATGGTTATGAGAGCTGGCGTGTGTTAAGTTTCTTTTATGAAAGTTTGACCTCACAAATACGTTAGTTTGTAGAAATGATGTATAATGGTGATTTTATGAATAAAGAACCGGACTAGGCCTTTGACTTTTTAGATCGTTTAGCCGAAAATGCACAATCTTGGGATACCACATCCCAAGAACCTCCTAAAAATAAGAATACACAATCTTCATCAAGTGAGGGTGAATATCAGTTGAGGGATGAAGATGACTTAGGAGCTAGAATTGCTACATTGGCTAGGAGAGTTGAGGCTATGGAGTTTAAAAAGGTTAATGAAATTGACACTGTTCCTATCGAGGAAATTTGTAGCATTTGTGAAATCCCTAGGCTCTCCATAAAGGAGTGTCCAACATTGCCTGTTTTAAAAGAAGTCTTGCATGATTAAGCAATTGTTGCAAATACTTTTTCAAAGCCTGATAACAACTCATATTCTANCTAGGAGCTAGAATTGCTACATTGGCTAGGAGAGTTGAGGCTATGAAGTTTAAAAAGGTTAATGAAATTGACACTGTTCCTATCGAGGAAATTTGTAGCATTTGTGAAATCCCTAGGCTCACCATAAAGGAGTGTCCAACATTGCCTGTTTTAAAAGAAGTCTTGCATGATTAAGCAATTGTTGCAAATACTTTTTCAAAGCCTGATAACAACTCATATTCTAATACTTACAACCCTAAGTGGAAAAATCATCCAAATTTTAGTTGGAGGAGTGAAAACCATACATCACAAATACCTCAACAGAATTCCTCTAATTTTGCTCCTTATACTCCAATCCCAAAGAGGAATTTTGAAGAGGTATTGTCACAATTCATGCAAAATCGGACCAATTTTAATAATCAAACCACTCAAGCTATAAATGATATCAAGAGTACACTCACCAAATTGACCACTGCCCCATGCCATCAAGAGAAAGGTAAGTCTCCAGCTCAACCCCAATCAAATTCGTAGGGTCAATTTAATGTGAATGGGACTGGCACATTTGATACTATCCATGAGTTGGTTAAGTCTATCACCACAATTTGTAGNCCCCAAAGAGGAATTTTGAAGAGGTATTGTCACAATTCATGCAAAGCCGGACCAATTTTAATAATCAAACCACTCAAGCTATAAATGATATCAAGAGTACACTCACCAAATTGACCACTGGCCCATGCCATCAAGAGAAAGGTAAGTCTCCAGCTCAACCCCAATCAAATTCGTAGGGTCAATTTAATGTGAATGAGACTGGCACATTTGATACTATCCATGAGTTGGTTAAGTCTATCACCACAATTTGTAGTGGAAAAGTAATTGATAAAACTATTCCTATTAAAACTCAAGAATCTGATAAAATTTTAAAACCTGCGCAGAGTGGNTTGATGAAATTTTAAAACCTGCGCAGAGTGGTGATAAACTTGACCAATCTAAAATCATTAAGCTTGAAAAGTGTCCAACATCTATACCATTCTCACAGAGATTACTTACACCTATCAAGCCAAACATGCACAATGATATGAGAAAAATTTTTAAGCTGGTAAAAATCAATATCCCCTTGTTGGATGTCATTAAACAAATATCTTNCTGATAAAATTTTAAAACCTGCGCAGAGTGGTGATAAACTTGACCAATCTAAAATCATTAAGCTTGAAAAGTGTCCAACATCTTATACCATTCTCACAGAGATTACTTACACCTATCAAGCCAAACATGCACAATGATATGAGAAAAATTTTTAAGCTGGTAAAAATCAATATCCCCTTGTTGGATGTCATTAAACAAATATCTTCTTATGTAAAATTTTTGAAAGATTTGTGTACTGTTAAGCAAAAATTAAATGCATAAAAGAAGACATTTTTGACTGAGCAGAGGTATCGTTCATTATACAACATAGGACTCCACCAAAATATAAAGATCCAAGTTGCCCCACCATTTCTTGTGTCATTGGTAACTACAAAATTGAATAGGCTTTACTAGATTTGGGAGCTAGTATGANGATTTGTGTACTGTTAAGCAAAAATTAAATGCATAAAAGAAGACATTTTTGACTGAGCGGAGGTATCGTTCATTATACAACATAGGACTCCACCAAAATATAAAGATCCAAGTTGCCCCACCATTTCTTGTGTCATTGGTAACTACAAAATTGAATAGGCTTTACTAGATTTGGGAGCTAGTATGAACTTGCTTCCTTATTTCAAATATTTTCAGGTATACATGAAAAGATCTGAAGATGAAGTTGAAGGTGTTTCTCTATTTGTGCATGTGTGTATTTTTTGTGTTCCGTCTTTTGTACAGTTAACTAATTATACATGATTATGATTATTTTGGATATGGAATAATGGTTGTTTGGTGGTTGAGTATGTTTTGATGATTGTGGTGATATGGTGCATTATGGTGGTTATTATGTATAATTGTAAGTTTTATAGATAGGTTTAGATTTTTTTAGGCTTCTATTTTTAGAGGAAACTATGTTCAAATTTCTTGAAATTAGTACGGACTAGATTGATGTTTTGGTGGTTGGATATGTGTTGATGATTGGGTATATATTGATTATTATGGTGGTATGATGAATTATGATGATTGTTATGTATGATTGTAAATTCTGTAGACTGGTTTAGATTTTTATGGATTCCTATTTTTAGAAAAAGTTATGCCGGAATTTCTGGATAATAATATGGGCTACCTTGATTTCAAATTCATAAGGTTGTTTTAGGTTACAAAGAGTCTTTAGATAACATAGGATTGTTTTAGTTGTAATTTAATTTTTCGTTACGCCGTAATCCAACAGAAGGCACAGCTAAATCATTATTTGGAGACACTATTTGGTCGGGGCAAAATTTGTTGTCAAATCACTGACAATTTCCAAACATAGAAGAAACTTAGCCNACCGTAATCCAACAGAAGGCATAGCTAAATCATTATTTGGAAACACTATTTGGTTGGGGCAAAATTTGTTGTCAAATCACTGACAATTTCCAAACATAGAAGAAACTTAGCCCTAAGTAAGTAAGGTGGCAAAACATCTTGATTGAATTTTGTGTATCGAGTATAAGCCAGGATGTAAGAATGAACTCAAGTAGCTAATGGTACAATTAAAAGGGCCAAAAAGATAAGAAAATGCACTTGGTTGAATTGCATTATGATAGATAGTCAATAAAGCTTTTCGCTAAATTGGGTTCCAATGAAAAATCAAATCTAATTACAAAAACTCAGTTGAGCATTTGAATATAACACTTACCTTTTATTGTGGTGATGAGAACGATGGACTGAAAAGCTTGCTCTGACTTATATTCGAAACTTAAATCTATACATCCATTTGGGTTTAGCTTTAGGGCATTCATCAAACTTCGAGATTGTACCTGATTTCACAGTTAAAAATTAGTCATGTATTTCAAGATCCAAAATTTTTCTTTCATGAACCACTCAATCTTAGGTCATATTACCACTATTATTTCTTTTAATTCCCTTTCTTTTCCGACAAATTGGTTACAACTACTTAATACTAACATTGGGGTGACTAATTCACACAAAACATATGAAATCAACACTCAGAAACTGATTTCCCGTATCCTCTCAAATATATAATTTCTTTGGCATTTCACCATAATTTGACGTGAAGCCCATAACGACACACATTCTATCATGGCTGGCTCAATATGGATACAAAAAAATCTGAAGCATCCTTGGCCATACCATAAGCCAATAGAGGTGAAACATATAAAGTTTGCAATACATTATAGTCATTTAACCCAATAAAAAACAAATAACACAACCTATGTCATTTATGCAAAAGAAATAAGAATGTCGAACTATCTAAGAAAGAACTTTCTATTAGTGTTTTGCAACAATAGCTTGTTAGCATCTAAATGATGAAAGTGGCATTTTACCTTTTAATCAAAAGGATTAACAGTTGATAAAATATATAGTACCTGATATTATGAAGGACTATAATTGATAGTGAGGACCTTGGAGACGCCGTAAAGTGAGAGTTTGCAAACCCAATATTCAAATTATGCTCCAAAATGATGAATTATTTGTTTCCAAGTTAATCGGTGGTCAATTAAAATTAATCAAAACTCGAGAGAAATGATTTCTACAACATAACAAAGAAAAAAAAGAGAGAACTGACCCTTTTTGATATGTGAGAGATGGAGAGTCACAACTTGAAAAAAGAAACAATAGGCTTGAAAAAACAGAATTTAAAGGCCAACGAATATAATGAGTTACCCAAATTTTATTTTATTGGTTCCATCTCCATTTTCAAACTCAAGAACTATGTTATGATTAAGCACAAAAATAACATATTCTAACAGATATGAGATAATCATAACCATATTGTTGGCAAAATACCCATTTTTGACATTGCATCAGACACTAACCTACCCAACTGACATTTGGTCAGTCAACTCTATTTCTCTGTTTAGCATCCAGTCATCCACTAATGTCCCGGAATTGCCGGTGCCTGAAAGCACGGAATGACAAAAAAATAAATTAAAACTCGAAAATACTATATTGCCTAATAACACTTTNCCACTAACCTACCCAACTGACATTTGGTCAGTCAACTCTATTTCTCTGTTTATCATCCAGTCATCCACTAATGTCCCGGAATTGCCGGTGCCTGAAAGCATGGAATGACAAAAAAATAAATTAAAACTCGAAAATACTATATTGCCTAATAACACTTTGCAACTTAAAACAAAAGGAAAAAAGCATTGATCGTGAACACGTTAGGATCAATTGAAGCCCCAAATGCTTAAATTACATCAGCAACATACCCACTTGCATACCCAACAAAACATTACAAACTAAAATACTAATTTGGAATCCGTGTATGAACTAATTTTAATTAACCAACCAAAAGTAAAACNAGGTCAATTGAAGCCCCAAATGCTTAAATTACATCAGCAACATACCCACTTGCATACCCAACAAAACATTACGAACTAAAATACTAATTTGGAATCCGTGTATGAACTAATTTTAATTAACCAACCAAAAGTAAAACAATAAGAGTTAGAGAAAATACAACTTTACTAATCAAAGTCTCATATGTTTGAACTGAAAATTGAAAGGNAAGTAAAACAATAAGAGTTAGAGAAAATACAACTTTACTAATCAAAGTCTCATATGTTTGAACTGAAAATTGAAAGGCATGAACATTGAAACTTTCACACCAACAACTGCTGCGATTATGCCAACTAGCATAATTGGCGAGCAAAGAATCATATTTTCCTCAATCATAACAAATAACTACACTCTTAGAAACATCAAGAGAACAAAATCAAATTGTTTAAATACAACAAAATAAACAAAAAAATTCAAAAACTTGAAGAGAACATACCCAAATTGGCGTAATGTTGGATGTCAATGGCTCAGTGAGACATTTTGTCAAACCTGAGAGAGGCGCAAAAAACTCTATTAGGAACAATTCATGTTCACGAAATTGTTCAAATGAGAAAAGTGGGGGAAATGTAAGAATCAAAACTTATTGGGTGAATTTGGTGTGTGCATGTGTACGATGTGTGTGTTTGACTATTCAGAAACATGAAGAGAACATACCTAAATGTGCGTAATGTTAGATTTAAACGGCTCAAGGAGACATTTTGTCGAAGCATAAATTTGAAAAAATGGGAAGATCATATGTTCTTAGATAGAATCAAAATCTACATAAATCCATCTTTTCGGCATCTAAAAAACACCAACCTCATGAAAAACTATGCAACATAGTTTCAGTCAGCACAACAAAAATTAGAAGTGCATCACTAATAGGATGAAAAATTGAGAACTTCCCAACAATTAAATAATAGAAAACTGCATCAGGTTGTTGAGTTGGATGGCATTCGAAAACCAGAAGAGGTTGTCCAGTAACGTTTGTTTGGTAGAGGGGCCGCAACTGGCCGTGTGTGTTGCCTTCAAAGAAACATGAAAGAGAAACATAGAGGGTTGGTTTTTGACTGGAAAACAGAGCATAAAAGGAGCCCTAGAGCTGAAAAAAATACCAAAAAATTAATGCAGAAAAATAGAGAAGAAAAGTGAGAGTTGCTGCCAAAAAATAGAAAATAATTCACAATGGGCAGCCAAGAAGAAACAAACATTCTAAACAACAAAATTAACACTCAAAATTTTGCAAATTGTGTGTGTGAGTGATCTAAATTTCACAAAAGTAGTAACATAGAAAACTGAACAAAATTAGAGGTCAAACCAATATTAACAGTTGATAATGCATAGGAGAAAAAACATTAAAATGCTCACAAAAAAAAATAGTAACATGTAACCTTGAACAAAATTAAGGTCAACCCAATAATATACTGAGTAGTTTTACATGAAATATTAGGACTTAAAGTCTTCAACAACAACAGATTTGTTGCTTTAAAAGCCCATTAATACTTGAAGACAGCCCCAAATTTGCATTTTAAGAACAAATCACACAAACCATACATAAATCATTCTATAATATCATTAAACCTTAAGCAAATTTGGGGCTGTCTTCAAGTATTTATGCGCCAGTTACAATATCATAGCAGAGGAGGCAAGTTGTGAAATATACTCTTTCTTGTACTGAGCCACCTTACCATCATTGGGGAAGAAACCCATGAGACATCGCACATGTACTGCAAGAGCCAGTTGGGACTGCGAGAAACCTTAATGCAAGGAACCTTGATGCTGCCTTCATTCAATTTCTTACAAAACGAAACAACCCAAATTTGAAAATATAGCATTCAATTTCCTACAAAACACCCAAATTAATAACTAATTTTTAAGAAATAATAGAAAACATTAGAAAAATGTGTGTTTGCTGTGTGTGAATGTCAACGTGTGTGTTTGTGTGTGTGTGATCTGCTACTTTGTTTTTGTGTGTGTGTATGTGATGTGCGATATGTGTGTGTGTGTGTTCGAGGGGAGCAGATCCTCTGTTCCCGTGTTCAAGTGCCTTTGTGTGTGGGAAAGAGAGGTGAGACAGAAAGTGCAACTNTCGAGGGGAGCAGATCCTCTGCTCCCGTGTTCAAGTGCCTTTGTGTGTGGGAAAGAGAGGTGAGACAGAAAGTGCAACTGGAGAGAGATGAAGACAGAGAGAGACAGAGAAGGACGGAGGGAAGTACCTGGGATGCTTGCTGATCGGTGGTGGGTTGAGTCATGGCCGAGCAGTGATGGCTGAGAGGTAGAAGACGTACATCTTGCATGGAGAGAGAGAGAGAGATAGATAGAGAGAGAGGTGAGTGACTGGGTGGGAGTCTGGGTTGGGAACCGTGTAACGTGTAGGAGTGAAGGCGTGGGCGGGATTTGGCATTTGTATTTGATGCATTTTGAGCTGTTGGATTAGGTCGGAAGAATTGAGATCAAATTTAAACCATTGAATTAAAAATAGATTTAATTTGAGCTTTTTCAAATATATTAAAATTAAATTAAATTTTAAATTGAAAATAAATTCAAAAGAGATGAATTTGAAGGAAAATAAAAGAAGGATCAGCGATTNTAGATAGAGTCTGGGTGGGAGTCTGGGTTGGGAACCGTGTAACGTGTAGGAGTGAAGAAGGTGCGGGCGGGATTTGGCATTTGTATTTGATGCATTTTGAGCTGTTGGATTAGGTCGGAAGAATTGAGATCAAATTTGGACCATTGAATTAAAAATAGATTTAATTTGAGCTTTTCCAAATAAATTAAAATTAAATTAAATTTTAAACTGAAAATAAATTCAAAAGAGATGAATTTGAAGGAAAATAAAAGAAGGATCAGCGATTGTTGAATGAATAAATTGATTTGAAAAATAATAGGATCCTCTTAATTAATAGCAAATTGCAGATTTCTTGTATCATCGTAATTGAAATCAAATTGCAGATTTTATGTAAATGGATGGAAATTCAAAGAAATTCAACTTTGAAACCCCAAGTTCAAAAGTCAAAAATAGTAACCCAAGCTTCAGAAAACCCAAATCAGATTCCCTCTAATTAAGGGTTTTTTTTTNTTGTATCATCGTAATTGAAATCAAATTGCAGATTTTATGTAAATGGATGGAAATTCAAAGAAATTCAACTTTGAAACCCCAAGTCCAAAAGTCAAAAATAGTAACCCAAGCTTCAGAAAACCCAAATCAGATTCCCTCTAATTAAGGGTTTTTTTTTTCCCAGTAAGTGTCTTTGTCAGATTATCTACATTCTAAACATCATCACCACTGCAATTACCAGCAAATTCGTGAACAACACGATCAGTTTGATTGTACATATATTACCAGCAAATAGACGTACATATATATGGTGCAAATGAGAATGCAGATCAGTTTGATTGGTGGTAGAGGATTAGGGAACAACAAAGATATGTGATTCATTTACATATGGATTTGATTGCAAGAGAGAAGAGAGAGAGAGAGAGANGAATGCAGATCAGTTTGATTGGTGGTAGAGGATTAGGGAACAACAAAGATATGTGATTCATTTACATATGGATTTGACTGCAAGAGGGAAGAGAGAGAGAGAGAGAGAGGATATACCAGCTGCTGCTGCTTGAGGGAAGGAAATGCGCAGGAAATAGTTGATGATGGAGCTCTGGAGTCTGGCCTCTGAGTGAGTCCCTCCTACCTTGACTTCGAGTGTTCGTTCGTCGTTCGAACTTCGACTTCAATGCAGCGCAAATAGAGAGAGAGAGAGAAGAATGGGAAGACGTCGGACCTCAGATAGACGGCGACACGCACAAACCAGAGAGGCTGAAATCATTTTATGGTAAAAAATGCCCAAATTCAACAACGAAATTAGCACTCAAAATTTCACACCAAATCTGAAAACCCAAATTTCAAAAATACTCCAGAAACCCCCAATTTAAAAACCTAAATTTCGCAAATCGTGTGACTGTGCGTGGTATGTGTGTGCGTGATCTCTGTGTTTGTGTGTGTGTGCTCGTGATGTCTGCGTGTGGGTGTGTTATTGGAGAGAGAGAGAGAGAGAGGAGGGGTAGCTGGGCGACGGCAGAGAGAAGGAGACATGGCAGAGGCTTGATCTGCTTCTTGTGTGTGTCTGTGTGTGTGAGAGAGAGAGAAAGTGAGTCGTGAGAAAAAGAGAGAGACGCCTGGCTTGGGAAGGAGAACACCTCTCTGCCTTGAGTTTTGTGTTGGAATGGGGGGGATTTGGTTTTTGAGTCGTGAGTCTTTGGATGAGAGATTTTGAATTTGAGTGAGATGAAATGTGACCTTCGAATTAGAGACTTTTGAATTGATTTGAAACTGTTGGATGTTAAAATTGTCATGTTTTATATTATAGATATAGAGGGACTACAGCAAATGAGTTGAAGATGAGCCAAGGGGGAATTCAATGGGCAAGAAGTTGCATAGTAGAAAGGAAGGCATTTGTAGTAATGTGATTGTGTGCATTAAGGAGAGCTTATTTCAAGTAAGAGTGAAATAGGGAGAGCATTGTCTAAGTCTAAAAGTCAAAATTCAACTAAAGTCATTTCAAGGCAATAAAACCATTTTCTCGCGTGGGACTAGTGCGAATGGTGAAAAAATTTGTTGGTTTGAAGATTGTTTCACAAACGGTTCTATTTTCATAAAGCTGTGACAATGTAGACACAAATCAATCTTGGTGGGAAGTAAGGAAGAGGTGCTAGGAAGAGGTGGTTGATTGGTCCGTGTAATGATGGAGTGAATGATTCCTTTACTTGTGATATTTCTCGAGGTGATGACATCATCAAGGTTCATTCAAATATTGAAAGACATTAATATGGATAAGAAACTATTAAAGGCAATTAGTTATTGTTGGGTTGGAGGTATGGACAAACTGGATTGTGGGATCCTTAGGACTGTAATACAAGCGAGAAACTTGACTTCGAGAAACAAAAGAAAAGAGACGCTAGCTGCAATCTAACCATATTGCTAACGAGCAANGAGGATATACCAGCTGCTGCTGCTTGAGGGAAGGAAATGCGCAGGAAATAGTTGACGATGGAGCTCTGGAGTCTGGCCTCTGAGTGAGTCCCTCCTACCTTGACTTCCAGTGTTCGTTCGTCGTTCGAACTTCGACTTCAATGCAGCGCAAATAGAGAGAGAGAGAGAGAGGAATGGGAAGACGTCGGACCTCAGATAGACGGCGACACGCACAAACCAGAGAGGCTGAAATCGTTTTACGNTAGACGGCGACACGCACAAACCAGAGAGGCTGAAATCGTTTTACGGTAAAAAATGCCCAAATTCAACAACGAAATTAGCACTCAAAATTTCACACCAAATCTGAAAACCCAAATTTCAAAAATACTCCAAAAACCCCCAATTTAAAAACCTAAATTTCGCAAATCGTGTGACTGTGCGTGGTATGTGTGTGCGTGATCTCTGTGTTTGTGTGTGTGTGCTCGTGATGTCTGCTGTGGATGTGTTACTGGAGAGAGAGAGAGAGAGAGGAGGGGTAGCTGGGCGACGGCAGAGAGAAGGAGACATGGCAGAGGCTTGATCTGCTTCTTGTGTGTGTGTGTGTGTGAGAGAGAGAGAGAAAGTGAGTCGTGAGAAAAAGAGAGAGACGCCTGGCTTGGGAAGGAGAACACCTCTCTGCCATGAGTTTTGTGTTGGAATGGGCGGGATTTGGTTTTTGAGTCGTGAGTCTTTGGATGAGAGATTTTGAATTTGAGCGAGATGAAATGTGGCCTTTGAATTAGAGACTTTTGAATTGATTTGAAACTGTTGGATGTTAAAACCGCCATGTTTTATATTATAGATATAGAGGGACTACAGCAAATGAGTTGAAGATGAGCCAAGGGGGAATTCAATGGGCAAGAAGTTGCATAGTAGAAAGGAAGGCATTTGTAGTAATGTGATTGTGTGCATTAAGGAGAGCTTATTTCAAGTAAGAGTGAAATAGGGAGAGCATTGTCTAAGTCTAAAAGTCAAAATTCAACTAAAGTCATTTCAAGGCAATAAAACCATTTTCTCGCGTGGGACTAGTGCGAAGGGTGAAAAAATTTGTTGGTTTGAGGATTGTTTCACAAACGGTTCTATTTTCATAAAGCTGTGACAATGTAGACACAAATCAATCTTGGTGGGAAGTAAGGAAGAGGTGCTAGGAAGAGGTGGTTGATTGGTCCGTGTAATGATGGAGTGAATGATTCCTTTACTTGCGATATTTCTCGAGGTGATGACATCATCAAGGTTCATTCAAATATTGAAAGACATTAATATGGATAAGAAACTATTAAAGGCAATTAGTTATTGTTGGGTTGGGGGTATGGACAAGCTGGATTGTGGGATCCTTAGGACTGTAATACAAGCGAGAAACTTGACTTTGAGAAACAAAAGAAAAGAGACGCTAGCTGCAATCTAACCATATTGCTAACGAGCAAGAAATGGCTCCTTATGATACATAGCNGAGAAACAAAAGAAAAGAGACGCTAGCTGCAATCTAACCATATTGCTAACGAGCAAGAAATGGCTCCTTATGATACATAGCCTTTTTGAAGTCTAAGAATAGAGTCCATATTATATCCTATACGCATGGCCATATAGAATTCTTCTCACGAGGTGAGATTTTTTGTTGCAAGACTATCCCATATTAAGTTCTTCAATAACTTCATTTAGTCAAGAAACTACTTGCGTTTTTCATGATATTTACCATAAAATTGAAAATTCACATATATTTTTGAGTTTGGAGAATCATTTTCGTGAGATTTTAAATAATATTTTAGCAAGTCATATTTTAGCTCGCAATATTGTTCTTTATTGGATATTATTGTTTCCAGAATTTTTATGTAATATACACAATTGACAGGTATATTTTTCTCTCTATTAATTGATGCTATGAATGGTATCAATTCACTTGAATTTGATAAAGATTCCAAACAGTTGACACCCCATGCAGAGAATCTTCTTTCCATGCCCCCTCAAGTGCAAGCTCCTGCATACCATTGTGAACTGCAAAGTGAGAAACAATGCTGGTATGCACTTTACTACCATGGGATAAATTGGTCACTGAGCTGTCTGTGTACCTAGAAGTTGATTTGGTCAAAATGATGCTTACACTATACTTTTAAGTTGTACGGGTACAAGAAAAAGGATCTTTGATTGATCAATTCTTGTGAAGCAGTTTCCTAAGAGAGTTCTAACTTAATAATTGCCCAACACCTCCGAGGCTGTGCTTGCTACTAGTAAGTATTATGATCAAATAAGTTCCGTGCGAATCATGAAACTTGACAATGTCTTCCCACGTTACACTAGGTAATACAAGTATTATTCGGAATGATGCCTATACTTATTACTTGCTTCTGACTATATTTTTTTGTTCTAAGAGTTAATATGCTAACCAATCCATTGATGTTAATTCAAGATAACTAAGCTATGANATTTGTTCTACACCTTAAGAGTTAATATGCTAACCAATCCATTGATGTTAATTCAAGATAACTAAGCTATGAACAAGCTAAGTTCCTTTGACCTCTGTCATGTCGGAAATGCTTGATTGCTCAACAAGATCTGCTCGAGATAGTTGTCAATAAAACTTCTTGAGTTAATTAGAAGTGGATATATTTGCCTCTTATAAATCTATTTTTTTTTTCTATTTGTTAAATTTTCTCAAGCAACAAACAACCGCATGATTGATTGTTGTTACTTTCTTTCATTCAGATTAGTTATTGATAGAGAAACTGGGAAACCAAAAGGTTATGGATTCTGTGAATATAAGGATGAAGAAACAACTCTAAGTGCTCATCGCAATCTTCAGGAATACGAGATCAATGGCCGTCAATTGCGTGTTGATTTTGTTGAAAATGATAAAAATTCTAATGAAAATCGAGAACAGGTAAAAACTTTTAGATGTCCAGAGAAACATTTTGTTTTATTGTAGACACTAAATTGAGTTTTCTTAAGGCTTTCTATACCATTTATCTCTATCGAGTTGTGTGTTGAATTATTGGTTGCTTGTCACTGATGACTTGACCACTGAAGGTGCATTTCTTGGTTGTCATCACTGTTAAAAATTGAATAGTATATAACCATGATGGTAGTTAGAAGAATGTGCATTGGTCCTTGATGTCACTGATAGCCTGAATGCTCTAGATGTGTTTCTCTGTTGTGTCATTGTCCAATTTTAAGAGTAGATAACAGCCATTGTAGTTGGATGATTTTTCCAGTTAGCCAAGAGTACCTAATTCTGTAAAATTGGCATGGAAATTTTTTAACTGTTGATTTTCATAAATTTTATAATTAAATGCTTAATTTATTAAAAACTAAGAGTGTAAGGATGAGATCTACTTCGATACACTGAAACAGACATACTTGATCTAGAGGAGGGTTAATAGGTCTTATGCACTTGAATGCATAATTAATGGCCAATTGATACATATTGCACTCTATTAATGATTAATCAATAAGTAAATTCAATTAACACCTCAATCACTTTGACCCAATTTTTCAATTAGTGAAATTATGCAAAATACCAAAATTTAATCAATCGCAATGTGCATAATCCACATCTTAATCACTCCAATCTTACTCACCAATTCAATAAAAATTGAAGTGGCTAACAATGCAATTCGGATTCACTTAAGTAATTTATTGAGCATGTGTAAGAATAAAAAATGGCATGTATGTAACTCATGGAAGAGACAAACGAAGACTATCATGGTTAGACGTTTTCTCACTTGAATGTTCAGTCCAAAGTCCATTGCAAGCTTTTGACGACTAGTTTCAAAAGGTGACAAATCAAGTTCCACGATCTGTCCTTGGAATCCTCCTTTGATCCTTGGACATCTCCTTTGATCCTTGTTTTATGGGTTTTTGGTGTTCTACAAGATCTCTCAAAACTCTAGATGAATTTCTCTTAAGAAATCTAGAATGATCAACTAGAGATTGGGGTTTGTTTTGGGATGCTAGGGTAAGCCTCTTGAACATCTCTTAGCTTTTCTTAAACCCTAGTTTCTCTCCTTAAGTCAAAAAAGACATGCTCTGTTTATTGGTAGAGAAAATTAGAGGTGGATTGGCAAACAAGAAAACCTAATTGCGACACATGTTGAGTTGTCCAGAGAGCGATCAGAGGGTGCTGACCACTGGAACGGTTATCTTTGCAACTGTGTACAGTGGCTCGCGGATCATTGTTTTATAATTCTCATATACAATCCATTTTCTTCAATCTCGAGAGCGCTTACCACTGGTTTTCCGTCTAAACTAAGGTTCTTTTTCAACTTTTGAAGTACCAAGGGTTCATACCTAAAAAGTCTCCATACCATGACTCTTTTATACACATTTTGAAAACCCACATTGAAAGGTTCAAAATTTTTTTTCTAAAAAACACTAGTCATGCTATAGATTTTCATACACACACTTTAAATCCATTTTAATCACATATGTTAAACTATTTTAAGACAACTAGGTATCTATGTCTGTTTACCTCTCCATTGCTTTATGGGATCCAAGAACTCTTCACATGTGTTGCAATGTAGCTCGAGTTTCTTCACCACATCTTGCTTTGGTCTTCAATTTTCACAAACATCTTGACCATAGATTTAGTTGAGATATAAGACAAAGTGACCTCAAAGAATTTACCAATTACAAACAATTTTCTATCAATCTACTCATTTGACAATTTTGTGACCAAACATACAAGATTATGAAATTACAAGATTACAACTTGCTAAACCACAACAAAAAATGTATCATAATCCTAACTTCTAGACTTAAGGTACAAGTCTCTCATCCTAATTACAAGACTAGTCTTCATGATTGGAACTTTTGAAATGGCGTAGTCCCACAAAACCAACACTAAACACAAAACCTCGTGAAATGCAAAGAGAAAAAACAAATATAAATCATGGTCTCTGGTAAGTGTTGGTAAACAAAGCACTAAGAGTGATAAGCTACGCAAACATGTATTATAATGACAAGTTCACCTGTACCCAAACCACGTACCCAACCGACCCGCGATTCAGGTAACCTTGATCCAAACAACAAAGAAAATAATAAATAAAAACATACCAAGTTAAAAAAATAACCCCAAAAAAAACAATGTCAACCAATTTTTTCCCTTTCACTTCCAATTTTCTTTCAAGTTCATCCATTTTTTTGCAAATTGTTTCTCTCCATTTTTGTCACGAAGTGCCAAAGAACCAAGCATATGGGAAAAACTGACAATTAAGTACAAGAATCATGACCATGAAAATCAAAATCTAAGAGAGATAATCAAATAAATCATGATATATACACATAACAAGAGAATGGGTTACAAAACAAAGGATCACTCATACACAAACTCTCAAAAAACTCGCACAATCCTATGTTAAGTATCCTAGCTAGAAGGTGGTTAGTCATGAACCTTTTCATTCTCTTTCTTTTTCTCCTTTTCTTTTTTCTCCTTCTCCTTAGCCTCCTTCTATTGGATAAGGGTACGAGCCAAGTCCTTAGTTTGACCCAACTCTCGTGTTGCAATATCAATCATCCTCTATTGAGCCTTCTCCAAAGTGTCAACCTTGGAGGCCAACTCCATAACTTTAGCTATTGGGAATAGAGGTGGTGGTGTTGTGCAAGTGCTTGGGTGTGATTCACTGCGAGTAGGTGGTGGTGGAGTGAAAGATATACTTGATGATGAAGTTGAGGTGGCGTTGGTGGATTCTGAGGTATGTGATTCATGTCCTCCAGCATCTTCTCCAATCTAACACTTGAGGGCCTCTCACTTGGAGCGGGTGGAAAGAGGGCAAGTGAGATGCTTGTGGCATCAAAGTAGGACCAATGCGACACCTAATTTGATTTGATGGGAGTGCCTGAACTCCATTCTTCAGACAAAGCCGGGTGATCAAGGCCCCAAATGTGAGGTCATTACTCTTCTTCTTGCTCTCAAATGCTCAACAAATCACTCCAAAGATCAGAGCAGGTAAGTCAATAATAACTACTGTACTTATGGCGTAAAGCAACTGAGGTCTAGTTGTCGGGAAGTCACTAACGTAGGACTTCGGGTCAATATCTGCTCCCCCAGGAGTTTATACTCCTGAGTCAAGTCCTTCTAGTAGAACTTTAGGGCGGCGTAACCCTCAACATGTGGTGCTCAACTATCTCTATAGCCATAGTGTGTAGCTTCGGGATTTGATCCCTCACCCCCTGTCTTAAAGACATCTCCCTCTACCTGTAGTAATCCCAAAATCTTAGCAATGTCAGTACGGAGATGTTGGGGTTATAGCGTAGTTTATTAGGATTTTGCCCTTTTTACCTTTTTCTCCTTATTGTATATTTATTGTTTGACTATATATACGGGAGCTCTACACTTAATTTATATTCTTTTCACTCACAAATATCTCTAGTTGGTATTAGAACCACCAACTTGACCCTAAACCTAGCCTCTGCCAATCATTGCAACCAACAAAACAAACCAGACAACCGTTGCTCACCCAACTCTGACAGCCGGTTCCTTGCAATAGCCTACTGGCCAGCCACCATTTAGCCACCGACAAACCCATAACATCCACCGCCCATCCACGATAACACATCACATTCCGTCGATAAACCAATACCAGTCCACCGACAAACCCAATACACTGCCCACTCAATCACCGATTACCCATCCACTGACAAACCCATAACACATCACAGTCCATTGATAAGCCCATACTAGTCCATCGACAAACCCAATACACTGCCCATTCCACCTTTAGCAAAAAACCGAAACAACAGTCTTCGATAAACAACGGCAAAAACCAACAACATCAACCAACAACATATACCCCTAACCCAATAAATTGAACCCAACCCAGACTAGCCCACCACCCAGCTCAATAAACCAAACAAACTCAACTACCCAGTATCCCAACCTAGCGATCCACTGCCCAACCCAGTGACCCACTACCCAACCCAACCCAACCCATATTAGCCTAGCTGTCTAGCCTACTGCAGACCAGCGAACCTAAGTGCCTAGCCTACTATTGGGTGACTGCCTAGCCTACTGCCGGGTTGCATTTTTTATTGTAGATTCATCCTTCGCACTATTTGTCATAGTGCTGCTAGGTTATAGTATCTAGGATTTTTTTAGGAGGGAGTTAATTCTCTTCTCTGTTGATCTGCTTTTGATGCAGTAGATCACTTTTATATTTCCTAAATTTTTCAGCACCGTGACTTGATTATTTGGGATCTTTTTGGACTTTCTTTATCTGTCACTGTTGTGCGACTTAAGGTATATTGTTCTCCCTTATTTTATCCTTCTATTTATCTTAGAGTTGTTTTTCTATCACGGGTGCCCTAATGTTGTTGATATGACTACTAATAAGGGACATTAGAAACCTACTGTTGACACCTCTACCATTGAGATCCCTACTGTTGAGACATCTATTAGTACTTTCACTTTTATGTTTGACTAGTATACAGTACCTACTGGCACAGTTTCATTACTAGTAATGTCAGACACGATCTCTCAGAAAGTTACGGCACAGTTGTTGAATAGCTGTAACTTTGCTGACTGGTCTTGCTTATTCTAGCTTTTCTTAGGCCGTGTCGAAAAGTTTGGTTGGTTGACGAAATCTCACCCAAAGCTAGCTGATGACGACCTTGGATATTCTGTGTGGTTCTCTGAGAACTGCGCTATTCTTGGATGATTATTTGGCTTGATAGAGCCATCTGTTTACAGGATTTACTAGTTTCATAGCTCTGTTTCGAAGCTATGGAGCGCATTATCAGAGATATATTCTCAGTCAGGATGGGGAGCTCGTGTTTATGAGCTTTCTCAAGAGCTCTTATATGCTCGGTAGGGAGATATGACCATTTAGAATTATTATGGCTATTTGACCTAGTGCTGACTTGAGTATGAGACTCTACGTCCTCTTGCTGTTATTTCAAGGATAGAGTCCGAGGGAGCAACATTCTTGCATACCGAAGAGTAGGAAGATAGGATTCACAAGTTCCTTATGGGGCTTTGTGATGAGTTTGAGGAACTTTGTTCCCAGATCTTATCGATGTTGAAGTTTCCTTCTCTTTATGAGGTGTATGCGATGATTGAGCAGCATGAGCGCCCCGTCTGTATTACATCACTTCCAATTGTGGCCTTGACTCTTCCGGTTAACTAGATGACCCTTGTAGCTGCTGTTAGGTCTCGTTCAGGATCCTCAGTCAGGAGTAGACAACGCTTGGACCAACGCTGTCAAGGTGCCCCAGATCAACGTAGACAAAGGGATTCTTGTCGGTGTGAATATTGTGGCCGACCAGGACATCTCAGGGCTGCTTGCTAGAAGCTTTTTCCGGAGCTTAAACCCTCTTTGTGGCCGTACTGCTCCTATTGTTGAGGTACCCCCACCTACTGCTGTTGCTCCTCCTTGGTAGAGTGATATGGATGCTATCACTTCCCGATTGGATATATTTATGTCTGCCTTGACTTCTCAGAGTCTGACTACTGCTATTGCCACCACTACAAGTCTACCTCATGCTTTTTATGCTTGCATCAGTCCGTCTACCCTTTGGATGCTAGACTCGGGTGTGAATAATCATATAACAGGTGAGACCCATCACTTTACCATTTTTGATGAACAATTACATGCACAGGTTCAGTTACTAGATGAGACACATGCCCCTATTATTAGTACGGGTACAGTCTGCCTCCTAGATGGATTTACATTATATTCGATTTTTCATGCGCCAAAGCTAGCCATGAATCTATTATCTGTACATCAGTTAGCCAGAGATTTTTACTATGCAGTTGTGTTCTTATCTGATTCGTGTTATTTGTAGGACCTAAGTACTAGGAGGATAATTATCAGGGGACATGATATAGATGAATTGTATTATCTAGGCGATCCACCTCTAGTTTCACCAGTTCCTCTACCTCTATTACCTGCATCTGCTTTGTCTTTATTTGTTCCTACCTTGCATACTAGTATTTTAATTAGTACTTATCATTATGATTTTTCATCACAAATTGTTCAATTGTGGCATGACCATTTTGGGTATACAAATTTTAAATATTTATGTATATTATTTTCTGCTATGAGCAATGCTTGTGTTAGTGGTAAACTTGACTGTGTTATATGTTCCTTATCGAAACATGTTCGGACCAGTTATATTCCCCGCATGCACCAATCACCCAAACCATATGACCTAATATACTCTAATATTTGGGGATCCTCTCCTGCTACTGCTCTGTCAAGTGCCCGTTGTACTTGAGTTTACCTTTTGCATAGGAAGTTTGATGTACTCCCTGTCATCACTTAGTTTTTTCAAATGATTAAGACACAATTTGATGTTATTATTTGTGTTTTCCAAGTAAACTTGACTATGTTTTATGTTCCTTATGGAAACATGTTCGGACTAGTTATATTCCCCGCATGCACATTTGACCTAATATACTCTGATATTTGGAGATCCTCTCCTGTTACTGCTCTGTCAGGTGCCTGTTGTATTTGAGTTTACCTTTTGCATAGGAAGTTTGATATACTCTCTGTCATCACTTAGTTTTTCTAAATCATTAAGACACAATTTGATGTTATTGTTTGTGCTCTTCGTTCAGATAATGCCAACGAATATGTGTCTAATGTCTTAGTGTCTTACCTTTCTTCTCAAGGTATCTTTCAGCAGCTCACTTGTTCATATACTCTTGAGCAAAATGAAGTTGCTGAAAGGAAAAATAGAAGTTTGATAGAGATGATACGTTGTATGCTTAGAGGTATAGGGGTATCAAAATTTTATTGACATTTTGTTGTTTTGACTTCTACCTTTCTATGCAATCGTATACCGAGTTGTGTTCTTTAGTATCGAGCTCCCTTACAGGTCTTATTCCCTGAGCGAATATTTTTTTTGATCCCGCTTCTATTTTTGGCTCCACATATTTTGTTCAAGATCGGTCTCCTACTTGCCATAAACTTGATGATAAAGCGATTCATTGCATCTTTGTGGGCTATTGTCATTAGTCTAAGGGATATCGGTGTTATGATCTTATCAGGCACCGTATATATCACAGTTTAGATATTACATTTCTTGAATATATTCCTTATTTTTCTTCCAGTCCTGTGTCTGTTCCTTTAGTTGATGATACTCCTTTTATTTTTTCGTTTCCACAGGAGCCTGAGCCATTGGTCACTATCACTATAGAGTCATCAGTCTCTCCTCCTCCAGAGCCACTTATCCCCGTCAGTACAAAGTCACCAGTTTCTCTTCTTTTATAGGTTTATGTTCGTCGTCCTCGCTCTCATCCCCCTGCTGATGTCTTCTCTACCTCAGGCGATGCAGGTAATGCTTCTCAGTTCGATAAGAATATTAATGCACCTGTTGTTAGTACTGATGAGATTGTAGGTACTAAGCTAGTTATTTTACCTAATAAGACATTGTCAGTGGAGAATAATGATTTAGGGCGTCGTTATCCGTGATGTGATCGCCGTCTAGTTGTTTGTTATGGTTGGATTGCTAGGACGTCATATCCGATTTCTGTTTATGTTTCTTGTGATGATCTGTCTCATACATTTCGAGCTTATAGTATAGCCTTATCAGATACGCCAGTTCCTCACTCTATTTCAGAGGTTATGCGGGATCTCCAGTGGTTTCTTGCCATGCAGACGGAGATGGATGCTCTTCAACGTAATCATACGTGACATCTTGTCTTTTTATCTTTAGGGGTGAAACTTGTTGACGGTCGTCGGGTTTATATCTTGAAGTTACTTGCGGATAGTACTACTGATCGTCACAAGGTTAGGCTTGTAGCAAAAAGCTTTACTCAGGTACCATGTCATGATTTTGGTGTTACCTTTGCCTCGTGGTAAAATTGACTAATGACTACTGTTAGATTGATTATTTCTCAAAATACTTTTGGCCTCTTCATCAGTTGGATATGAAGAATGTATTTCTTCACAGTGATCTTGACGAGATTATTTATATGGATGCATCACCGGGCTTTCGTGGTGAGGGGGAGTATGCTGGAAAGGTATGTCAACTGCGTAAGTCTCTTTATGGACTGAAATAGTCACTACGAGCCAGGTTCTCTCGTTTTAGTGGTGTAGTTGTACAATTAGAGTTCACCAGATGTTATTCTAATCATACTTGCTTTATTTGATGGAATACTTCTGGACAATGTGTCATCTTTTTTGTATATGTTGATGATATTATTATTACTGGGGATGATGATTCTAGGACTGCGCAGGTTAAGGTAGACCTTGGAAAGGCCTTTGATGTGAAGGATCTTAGATTTTTGTGATATTTTTTTGGGATTTAGGTTGCCTGTAATAGTAGGGGTATTGTTCTTTCTCAGAGAAAGTATGTTCTGGATTTTCTTTCAGATATTGAGATGCTGGGGTGCAAACTGGCATCGTTACCCAAGATTCCAAACTTAAAGCTTACTGCTGAAGGTGAGGAGTTGAGAGATTCGACTGTTTATCAAAAATTGGTAGATAGACTTATCTACCTAGCCAACACTAGTCCAGGCATTTCATTAGCTGTCAGCCGAGTTAGTCAGTTCATGCACAAACCATATCAACTTCTTCTTGATGTAGTTTGTCATATTCTTTGGTACCTCAAGTTTTGTCTTGGACTTGAATTGTTCTATGCATCAAGATTTTAGACTGGTTCTCTAGATTATTATTCTGATTCAAATTATGGGGGAACGTGTGACGGTCGATCTATTACGGGCTTCTATGCTTTTCGAGGGACTCATCTTATCTCTTGAAAGAGTAAGAAGTTGACAGTTGTCTCTCGCTCGTTAGCAGAGGCAGAGTATCAGACTCTAGCACTTGACACGTGTGAGATTATCTGGCTACGATCGATTCTTGGCAAGTTGGGATTTTCAGTGGCTTCTCCATCCACATTATATTGTGATAATCGATCTGCTATTCAGCTCGCTTCTAACTCATGAGAAGACGAAGCATATAGAGATCAATGTTCATTTTCTTCAAGAGAAGGTTAGCCGTGGTATTGTCACTTCATTGTTTGTGGGGACCAGTAATCAGGTTACAAATATTTTCACCAAGCTTGTCACTCTATCCATTCTTCAGGACTCGGTTGTCAAACTTGGCTTAGTTGATATTGTTGCACCTAGCTTGAGAGGAAGGAAATGTTAGAGTTATAGTATAGTTTATTACGGTTTTGCCCTTTTTACCTTTTTATCCTTATTGTACCTTTATTGTTTAACTATATGTACGGGGGCTCTACACTTAGTTTGTATCCCTTTCACTTACAGATATCTCTAGTGGAGACATCAAACTTAACTTCTTGAACATATGTGAGGAACGCATGCCCCACATGAACGTGAGTGTAATGTAAAGAAAGAATAGTGCCATTCTTGATCTTCTAGGGTCTTGAACCTGTTTCCCTCACTAGGTCGTGCAACATCCACTCTCTTGGCTCCTCTTGGGGTATATTTTCAAAAATCAATCTGTAGAAGTGCTCTAAATGTAATAGGTTCTCACTTAATCAAAATAAAATCAAAGATAAATGGTCCAAAATGAAGATCCCAAGTGGAAAAGGTGAGATTTAAGAGTATTTTGGGGTTTGGAAGAGTTAGAAATGAAGAAATTAAGTGGAAAATTGACTTTTAACTAACTTTCCCACCCAGGAACGCTTGAGGGTTGGCAGTGACTGCTTGAGTGGTCATGTTGTCCTTGCAGGCCAATGGTAAGCTGTGCAATCCTATTCTATTCACCTTGTTTCTCACCTTTTTGACACCTTTAAGCCTATTCTCAACTATTTAATGGATGTACAAATGTATGACAATAAACAAAAGGGGGAATATCATTTTCAAAGATTAGATTTTTCACATTGCATCATCAATATATTAAAAGTGTTGCGGCCCTTACATTAGCATCTGTTGCTTATTTCGTCAAGAATCCCCCTATTTATGTTAATGGAATGATTAATGGATAGCCCGCAATGCAATACTTTTAATACATTTAGGGTGCAAAATGGGAGTTTCTAAATTTTTTAGGGTGTAAATGCAACTAGCCCCAAACAAAAATATCAAATTTGAACACATACATGGATGAAATTGGACCTAAATGCAAGAAATCTGAATTTGAAAACATGAAAGTCAACTTAAAATCATCAAAACTCAAATTCAATCTCATTTCAAAATTCAATAAGTCAATCTAAAGTATATCTAAGGATAGAAATATCAATAATCATGCAACTTTAGAGAACTTTACGAATCATAGTCCACAAACAGATATAGTTATAGAAATGAATGTAGCAAAATATTAGTTTTATAAGATTTGTATCAATCATTTATAAAATGTGAAACATGGTTCTGCATTCTCCCCCTTTAGTTTTGAGGCTTGCACATCGACATAACACGCGGGTTCTGCTTCTTGCCTATATCACTTAAATGGCAAACCTATTGGTGACATTCTCGCTGCATAGCTTAAAAACTGTCGATGTCGTGAGTATTGGTTAGTTTTGTTTTACTCTTTACTTATAGCACATAGAATTTGTTTACAATTTCTTTCAAATGAATAAATCCTAAAGACATTTTATTCATGGATAATACAGACCCTCAAAAATAATTTGGGGGCTCAACAGTCCTTGGGGATGCTGGTCTTAAGCAGCCAATAGGTCTATCAGTAGCTATGGCTGCTGCATCGCTTATGGTGGGAGCNTAATTTGGGGGCTCAGCAGTCCTTGGGGATGCTGGTCTTAAGCAGCCAATAGGTCTATCAGTAGCTATGGCTGCTGCATCGCTTATGGTGGGAGCTCTTGGAGGTCCTCAGATTGGTAGCAACTCCAATCAAAATGGGCAGCAGGGTCAGGTAGTTTTGGGCACGGATCTGTTTACTCTTCATCTGGCCAAAACGTCAAGAAACCAGCTGAATGAGATTATTTCTATGATGAAGGTAAGTGTTCGAATCCAGTTCGACTTGTCTTTCTAAATAAATTTAAATACATGGCCTGGTACTAAATCCATTTATTTGATTCAGGTAATGGCTTCACAAAAAAAAGGAACAAGCCTACCAGTTATTACTTGCAAGCCCGCAGTTGCCAAAAACTCTTTTGCAGGTTTTTTTTATCAACCCTTCATGCCTTGAGTTTTTGCAAAGCATATTTTTGGTCACTGGATTACGGATTCCCTTGTGTTTTCTACCTTTTTTTTATATATGTGGAAGTTGTGTCATACATTTTCTTAATCCTCTAGTCAACTCAATTGTTGTAGCACTATGAACGATTGTTTTTGAATTCTAAATGTTTGGCTTTCACCGTTTTTCTACATAATATCCACCTACGCAGTGCCTAGATCTTTGACAGTCTGGACTTCATGAAAACTAAAGGAGTGTTTGTTTAATGGGAAATAGGTGGTAAATGCAAGAAAGGGAAACAAAATCTTACTTCTTGTCTATTTGTTTAGCAAGAAAGATAAGAGAAAATGGGGGAATGAAGATTGCCGCTCCCAAAAATTTTCTCACAAACCACTTAATCCTATTTCTCACATAAGTGAAGGCTTTTGACCTATTTGCCTACAGTCATAGTTATCAAATCGTGTATCGAAAGGCGTATCATTTTTTAAAAATAGTGTATCGTATTGTGTATCATAAGATATGGTACAAATTTAAATAAATAATAATAATATATATATACCTTTGAAAAAAAAATCATACACTCATAAAAACATAGCATTTCATCAATATTCTACCAACTATTCAAGTCATAAACATAGTTCACTAATATTATAATACAAAGTTCACAACCATAGTTCACTAATTCAAAGTTCAAATACCAAAGAGACTTCTAATCCAAATTTTTAACATCCATTTTTAGTCATTTCTATATGAAAATAAGATGCTGGTGATGCCACTATTTCACAAAAATTAAAATTAATCAAGATTCAAAAATTTTTATACAAATATATATATATGGCTTTGTAAATAAATTAAAATTATTTCTTACATTGCACAGGACCACAGGTATCGATGGAGACTAAGAAGAAGAAGAAGAAGAAGAAGAAGGCAGCTTCGATGGAGTACCTGGAGAATGAAGAAAAAGGCAGCTTCGATGGAGGCAGATGGAAGAACAGAGAGGCAGCTTCGATGGAAGAACAGAGAACACCCACAGCCGAAGACTAGCGAACGTGGTCAAAGGTTGAAGAACACCCAGAGACATCAGACTCAAAGACCAGCGAAGTGAGCCAACAACGAAGAAGGAAAAAAAAATTTATTTTTTTTGTAACCCTAGCCACTGAAACAACGCCGTTTCAGTGGTTATAAGGATAAAAAAATCAGCCTCTTGACCAAAAAAAAGACGTTCCAGAAAAAAAAAATAGCTTTTGCACGTATTTTGCATATGGTAACGATACGCATCGTATCGTATCGTAAAAATGTATCGTGTATTGGACGATACGACGCAAAAATAATACATAACTACGATCTGTATCGTTTTAGGCCTGTATCGTAACGTATTGTACAATATGTATTGCACGATACGTATCGCGTATCGCACGATACGTATCGCGTATCGTACGATACTAACAATTACACCTACAGGTATGAATGGAACAACAAAGCAAATCAAGAATTACAACACCACCGCTTGCTATTTCCTCTATTGCCTTGATGATATTCTTGATGATCCATCTGATGAAGGTGACGACGATAGAGATCTTGTTTTTGTCTTGGCTGAAAGTGTCCAAACGGTGAATTTTGAGTTGTCAATTGCGATGACATAAAATCGAATGGAGGAATGGAGTTGAAGATGAAATAGGTGGTGGAGCGATGGAAGGATAACATAGTTAAAGGTGGTGGTGGGAGCTGGGGGTTGAAGTTATTGATAGAACGACGCCCCGCGAGAGAGCGAGAGAGAGAGAGAGAGAGAGGGTGGACCTGGTGGNCGAAAGGCGTATCATTTTTTAAAAATAGTGTATCGTATTGTGTATCATAAGATATGGTACAAATTTAAATAAATAATAATAATATATATATACCTTTGAAAAAAAAATCATACACTCATAAAAACATAGCATTTCATCAATATTCTACCAACTATTCAAGTCATAAACATAGTTCACTAATATTATAATACAAAGTTCACAACCATAGTTCACTAATTNCACCAACTATTCAAGTCATCAACATAGTTCACTAATATTATAATACAAAGTTCACAACCATAGTTCACTAATTCAAAGTTCAAACACCAAAGAGACTTCTAATCCAAATTTTTAACATCCATTTTTAGTCATTTCTATATGAAAATAAGATGTTGGTGATGCCACTATTTCACAAAAATTAAAATTAATCAAGATTCAAAAATTTTTATACAAATATATATATATGGCTTTGTAAATAAATTAAAATTATTTCTTACATTGCACAGGACCACAGATATCGATGGAGACTAAGAAGAAGAAGAAGAAGAAGAAGAAGGCAGCTTCGATGGAGTACCTGGAGAATGAAGAAAAAGGCAGCTTCGATGGAGGCAGATGGAAGAACAGAGAGGCAGCNAAGGCAGTTTCGATGGAGGCAGATGGAAGAACAGAGAGGCAGCTTCGATGGAAGAACAGAGAACACCCACAGTCGAAGACTAGCGAACACCCACGAGTCGCCATCGATGGATGAAGAACACCAAGAATCGAACACCAGCAAACGTGGTCAAAGGTTGAAGAACACCTAGAGACATCAGACTCAAAGACTAGCGAAGTGAGCCAACAACGAAGAAGGAAAAAAAAAATTATTTTTTTTGTAACCCTAGCCACTGAAACAACGCCGTTTCAGTGGTTATAAGGATAAAAAAATCAGCCTCTTGACCAAAAAAAAGACGTTCCAGAAAAAAAAAATAGCTTTTGCACGTATTATGCATATGGTAACGATACGCATCGTATCGTATCGTAAAAATGTATCGTGTATTGGACGATACGACGCAAAAATAATACATAACTACAATCTGTATCGTTTTAGGCCTTTATCGTAACGTATTGTACGATATGTATCGCACGATACGTATCGCGTATCGTACGATACTAACAATTACACCTACAGTTATGAATGGAACAACAAAGCAAATCAAGAATTACAACACCACCGCTTGCTATTTCCTCTATTGCCTTGATGATATTCTTGATGATCCATCTGATGAAGGTGACGACGATAGAGATCTTGTTTTTGTCTTGGTTGAAAGTGTCCAAACGGTGAATTTTGAGTTGTCAATTGCGATGACATAAAATCGAATGGAGGAATGGAGTTGAAGATGAAATAGGTGGTGGAGCGATGGAAGGATAACATAGTTAAAGGTGGTGGTGGGAGCTGGGGGTTGAAGTTATTGATAGAACGACGCCCCGCGAGAGAGCGAGAGAGAGAGAGAGAGAGAGGGTGGACCTGGTGGTTGATTGGTGAAAGTTATAGGGCGGTAACGTGGCGGTACCGGTGGAGGAGGTGATTTGTTAGTTGTATGAATATGATGTTGAGGACTGATTAGTGTTCAATGGTGGGTGGGTCCTTTTGTCTACAAGGGATATATGAACATTTCACATTGTTAAATGGAAGAAATGTGTTTATTTTGTTTAAGCAATCTATTATTGTGTATGGTTGTGTAACATGCTTATAAGCATTGGATATATGTTAAAATAACATCCAGGTAGACGTGGGAGTCTTTCCACTTTGCCAGTATTATAGTGAGTAGCTATTATCGTACTTTTTACATCAACACACTTGTAAACCTTTGTTGCCTCTCCCTTTGTCATATGTCGACGACAATATTGGTTTTTCTGGTGAAATGTCGGACGATGATGCCCCCATTTCAGTTTTGTTTAAGCCCATCTCATATCATTTGTCTGGTGATTTTTTTGAGGCCATTGGTTCCGATAGTGATCTTGAAGAACATGGTCATTAATGTATCCTCGGCTGCAATCTGTGATATTTAATGGGTCTTGAAAATTAAGATTCCAATAGTGATCTCGAAAAAAGATGTTTGGTAGTTTGAGTTTTGGGATAGTAATTGTGTGGTAAGTATAATTGATAGGATATAGTGTACTAATTGTTGGAGAATTGGCTAAATTAGGTAAGTAGGGTTCAATTTCATCGAAGAGTGTGTTAATGGTGCCCGTAGTATAGGAGCACCGCCAAACTTTGTTTTTGAGTTGCTGTATGTTTGGGATTTTATTGGATCTATATGGAAGTTGTGTGATTGATGAATTGTATACTCAAGTCACTCTGGAAAATAGATATATTGATTATAATTATTGATTTTTTAATATGTTTACATGTTTAACTATTGGTATATACTTTATATTAGTTTAGTGTTTGTATTTTGGTCTCATAGCTGAGGAGTTGGATTGATACGAAATGGGCAATTTAGGGTGCGTTCGGTAATGTTTTCGTTTTTATGTTTTTTTTTTATTAAAAAAAAACTAATTTTTTTTTTTGTGATAAAAACTAAAAATATAAAACATGTTTGGTAGTCATTTATATTTAAAAAATTATAAAAACAAAAATAAAAAATATGTTTGATATCATACAAAAAAATCCACCACCTAACACCACGAAAACCCACAACCACTAACCACTTGACCTCACCACCACCCCTAAAACTCACCACATAACCCCCAATACAAAACCCATCATCCACCCCCGAAACCAACCACCCAACCCCCATTGCAAAACCCATCACCCACCCCCGAAATCCACCCCCACAACCCCCTGCAAAAATCCACCAACCACCTCTAAAACCCACCACCATCTACTACCCACCCCCGAAAATCCACCACCACCCAAACCCCCATGCAAAACCCATCAACCATTCTCGAAACTCACCCTTGAAACCCTCTAGCAAAACCAACCAGCCACCCCCGAAACCCATCACCACCCAACCCCACCACCACCCACTACCCGCCCCAGAAATCCACCACCATCCTTAAAACCCACCAGACACCCCCTCCCCCTGAGAAAACCCATCAGAGAAGGGCGAGAGAGAGAGAAAGGGATCTAGAAAAAAAAAAAAAGTGAAAGAGGGAGGGGACTTTTTATACTAAAGCAAAAAAATTCATTTTTTGTTGCTAAGGAAGATCGAAGTCAAGATCTCATTAAATTTCATTTTGAACCGCGCGTTTGTTTTTTATTTTTTTGGATGTTTTTCAAAAAAATATTTTTGGATGTCTCCATATTTTAGCATTGTTTTAAAAACGGAACATTTAAAAAAAACGAAAATATTGACCAAAAGCTTTTGTTTTTTGTTTTTTTTGCCATAAAATGAAAAAAAACAACAAAACAAAAACATGAGGTTATCAAATGACACCTTAGTAATTTCAACAAATTGTCTTAAAGTTTCTCACAAAATTTTCCATAATAACCAAACACGCATAAGAAAATATATTTTCTTTTCACTTTCCTTTTTGTTACTTCACCTTCTATCACTTTTACTTTCCATCGTTCTTTTACTCATAACCAAAAGGACCGAAAAAGGGTTAAATTTGCTCTTTGTTGCATAAAAGTGCCTCGAAAAGAGAGTGGAGAGGAACTGAGTAAGATACACAGGTGCACAACCTTGTTAATGTTATTGCTTAGCCTGAAATTCTATCATAGATCCTACTTGAAGGTGGGAAAATTGTATCAACAAGGTCCCAAGTTTTGTTTCATATAGTATAATCACAATGCTATTGTGCGAGATAATAATAGATGTCCAAATCTTGGAGGTCCGTCAATGTAGAGTGTTGTGGAACCGGAGCTATAGCCTGTAGGTGGAGTAGAGATAGGTTTGGTTAAAGACCTATTTACTATGGTTGATTTTGGGTCAAAATCTGGTGATGCTATGAATATTGTGAGCACTTTCATGATAAAGTGTTTTGGAAATAATACATTTGGGCATTCTTAGAATGCTTGGAAACCAATGAAGCTATTACTGGTGTTGAATGCTTTTCGCACTACAATTATATTCTGATGTGTCAAGCACAGGTTGTATTTGATGCCTTAGGTGGTTGTCTTTGTTTGTCATGATCTAAAACGTGTATGTGAAACAATGAAAAGGAGGGTAGTGTCGATCGTTTCACTAGAGTGCACAAATTGGTTTGGCTTTGTTTGAAACGTTGCATCTACAAAATTATCCTTATGTTTCATTTCTTCATCGCCTAAAAGAACTAAAAATGGAACATTTTGTAATTTTTGACCAATCGTCTTGAAATTTTCTTTTAGGGTTTGACCAAACGTATTGAAATTTTATTCTAGGGTTTCTTCTTGTAAATCTTTAATTTGGATGTTCTTATTAATCATCCTAGCATTCCACTTTTTTGCCCCTTAAAAAATTTATTTGTAAAAGAGCATCTCTTATAATTGAAAATTTCCCTTGGACAATTGCTCATAAGAGACTCAACACTCACGATTTTTATTAGAGAAAGAGACCTCATTGTTGACTTGTGATAGAGTGTTGCATTATGTGTTGGAGGGTGGGGATTGGATAAGTTTTTTCTACATTGTCCTGTTGCTATGTGTTAATGAAGAAGGTTATTTACTATGGTGGATTTTTGTTGGGTGTAATCATTCTCATGTGAATCTATGTTTGCCATTGTATTCTAGGGCTTTAGGAGCAGTGGGAAAGCTTGCTTTCTTTAAAGATTTGTGGTGTGGGCAATCATCACCTCTATGATTGGAAATGAAGGCTAGAATTATTCTTAGATACATTTGAAGAAAAGCTTGATTTGGGAGAAAGTTCGATTCTTGGATTGTTGTTGGGTAAGGGTTT